AAATGCTCATCAAGAGGTCGGTTCCTCAGCTGGTCACTGGACTGTGGGATTGCTCACCTCTTAATGCGCATCTAACCCTTGCCGCGGGTTTCCTCCCCCCTGCCTGAGTCGCGAACTGTGTACACCAACTTACTCCTTATAAAAGCCAATAAATCCCTGTTGAAATATGCTTTGAGCTATATGGGCAACTCTAATGAATTAGGGAGAGGTTTAGATGAGTCCACAGTGCTCCTACGGTCTTCATCAGACCAAGGCTTAGGCTCAGAGCGCAGACGGCGAGGGTCGCCGCGGTTACAGACAGAAATCAAAAGACCGTGCTAAAGAGCTGAGCGTGGTTTTCCCAAGTTATTTAGCTAAAAATTAACAGTAAAACGATGTACACTGTGAAAATGGGAATAAGGATGATCGATAAAGAAAAAAAATTGATAAAGCGTTCATGTGGCGCAGGGTTTGCAACCCCGCACTCCGCTAGTCACACGTGTGCAGTCAATATCACCAGCAAAAAGCAACTGGAAGGAAGACCTGTTTCGCAAGTGTTTATCATGACGACTTGTCCATGGAAATTTCAAGGACATCACTTACCGGCCAAGGAGCCGTGGAAGGAAAAGTACACTCGCTTACAAGGGAATAATTATTGATCGATTACTCGAAAAGTAGTCAAAGGGCAGTTCAGAGCTGAGCGGAAATAAAACGAAATTCAATCGAACTCATCGCGGATGTGGTCGTTATCGTGAGGGGTCAAGGCCGTCAGTCAAAAGTAAACACTAGACGTGACTTGACAGCCGATCAGTGAGTGTCCTTCTATCGATTACCATCGGAAATCAATATCCACTCTCAATAATACGACTACAACCGGTAGCATACCTCGAGATTTCCTTATCCGGTCTGTTATTGTAAGACTTTCCACTGAAAGTTCTCAGATGTTTCATGAGTATTACCCCGATTAATTCAGTTACCAATGAGGAGCCCAGCGATAAACCTTACACCTACCTAGCAGCGAGCTGGCACCTCCTAACTAGTTGACGTGACACATCACAGCACTCCCAACACACCAAATGCATTAGGCCCTGGTGCGAACGTCGCGCCCAACGCCGCGACGCCGTGAAGTGGATGTAACATCCCGGGGCACGTCATACGTTGGAGGTCCCCAGCGAGGGATTCCTATTTGGTCACAAGGGGAGCGCGAAATTACCTTTTGCACAGGGGGAGCGCGAAAATACCTTTCCTCGAGTTCCCTTCCCCTCCCCCTCCTCCTCCCCATAGCACTGCGCTATACACACCCAAAACTTCGGGAGTGGTAGAAAGTTGGGAGAAACTACTGGTGAAACTTAGCATGGCAGGTAAGTTGAGGGTTGCAAGGGGTAGGAGTCATACCAATGAAGGAACTTCTGAGGGTCGTTTTTTTATATTTCTCTCTCAACGGCAGGACGTACCCTGAAAACCACACCCCAATGAGGGGCTATCATGAACTGCGCCTTGCATTCGACTCTGGTTCCAAGTCACGTATGTGACCGAAAGGGTACGTAGTCGCCGAAGGGTATCGATCGGCCGGCCGCTTGTGTTTTGAGAGTATAGGACAAAAATGCGGGCGCTGCCCTCACCATTCTGGCACTATTATTCTGAACCCTCTCTAAACACAAGCGGCTATCGCCGATTGATAGCCCTCTGCGGCTGCGTCCCTGTCTATAGCATGGAGCGTTATTGCAGGGGCAGCGCGTTACAGCGCGTCGCCGCACGTCATCGCAAAAAGCCTGAACGCTGCGTTAGAACTAAGGAAGGCCGTACTTGCACTCATCACCATGCATGTCCTGCCATTTCATTCATATCCCTGTTGCGCTGGACCACGCAGCAGTTGAGATTCTTTCTCCTTTCTACACAACAACACAACCTTTTCCATACCTTTATTGTAATCTCTAAAAAAACAAAATACTCTACACTAGAAAACAGAGCAGCGCCGCCGAAAGGAGGAATACTGCTATGGAATCAAAATACGATCCTTGTTTCTCTCATATTACAGTCGCCACCATGACATGGCTGCTCGTGTATGTGCGTAGCTCATGAATGCTTCGGTGGAACCTGGAAAGAAAATTCGTCCCATTGACGTCATTTTAGTGCCCAAGGGTCGAGCAAGAAAATCACTTACCGACGCCCGCGTTGGCCGTATCTCTATCATATACATGTCTGAAGATGGCCGCTCGCAATACATTATGATCGATGCTTGAAATCTCCTCCTCCAACTGAGCCAAGGACCTTACTTTTCCAGTGTAGAGCAGCTGAATCGGGTGATTATCAGATCCTTGGCAAAAGAAGAAAAAAAAGCGACGTCTCGCAAAACCTCACCTCCTTGGCGTTATGCTCTGCCTTTTGGGTATTTGTTTCAAGGTTTTGGTAGAGGTCAGTTCGAAGCTGATTTCGTGCAAGTGTTGTCTCTTCTTCTGAGATGGCGACAGAAAGGTGCTGTAAAACAAGAACAATTAATAAAAAATGTTTGAAATGGACGCAATAATCACTAGTCGACCACTGAATGCAAGCGAAAATCGGTGCAATTCGGCGACGGGAAGGGGACATTGTACCCTTACACTGCTTCCTTAGCTCCATTTCACGAGCCTCACGAGAAACTTGTGAACTTATGCGAAGCTAGAGCAAGCTCGTCCAGTCAACACGGTAAGCGTTATTTGTATGACATTTCACTGCTTACAAGCGTTGACAGGTAGAAACCTAGGCGGGAGACGGGCAAGAGAATCGTAATTTGCCGCTCCGCCGCGCGCAGCGATGGGCGCGGCGTTTTCTTAACTCGTGTTAACCTGTCGACTGGAGCACCGGACTTCATGTAGACCCCGTCATCGTAGACATTCATGACTATTTTCGGTTCTGAATTGCCTGTTGTCGCCATCTACTACCTGGAACCATCGTCATTTGCGGGCGCGACGTCGCACGCGACGCCCAGCAGCGCGGCAAATTACGATCCTCTTGTCACATACCCATTCTCTTGTCACATATCCAACTTAGGCTGGTATCATTTTGCGGGTTGACAAGATTTGACAGGTTTCCACTTGATGGCTCGACACGTCCATGGGGAAATAAAGAAATGCTAAACACGGGTATGTGACAAGAGGATCGTAATTCGCCGCGCTTCTGGGCGTCGCGTGCGACGTCTCGTCTGCAAAGGACGATCCAGGTAGTAGATGGCGACAACATGCAATTAAGGACCGAAAACAGTAATGAGTGTCTACGATGACGGGGTCTACATGAAGTCCGGTGCTCCATTCGACAGGTTAAAACGAGTTATGAAAACGCCGCGCCCATCGCCGCGCGTGGCGGTGCGGCAAATTACGATCCTTTACCGTCTCCCGCTAAATACCCCGTGACGCCGAACTACGCTCAGAAATCTACCCAAAAGCCTGTACGTTGAAATCAAAAGATTCAGAAAAACAGCTGGAATGAATCATACCTTCCATTCATGCTGGATGCTCCTCATGATGCCCTGTGAGTTGATGAGGTCGTCTCCGTTACTGACAAAGTACACTCCAAACAGACCGGTATCCCTAGAACATTTCGATATTGGCCGGATGATTCAGTTACGACCATCACTTCGAAACAAGTGCCTCACTTATAGTGAATGTTGAAGTGTTGAAGGAATTGGAGGCCATGCTCGTGTGAAATCTTCTGAACCCAGCGCGAAGGAGCAGTACGTGAGGTGGCATGAGTAACGTCCCATTGTCCTAGAATGCAAAAGGCATACAAATGCAGAATATTTTCCAGAGATGAATCTTCGCTACTGTCATCGGAACGGCGCAATCGAATCGCAACAGAATGTTCATCACATGGAATGGCAGTGGATAGCTTGTAACCTTTTAAGCTGCGTGATGGAATTCTGATGGCTTTTGTATGCGCTCGCGTCATAATATGGCCAAGAACTCAATTACAGCCTGACCTTTACAGAGGTAAAATCCTGTTAGCGTTCCAGCAAAGGACCACACAAGCCGATAGGCAGCCCACACAAACATATAACGGACACAGAAATGGTGAAGGGTGTTTTTTTTTCATAAACATGTAACACACCATGGCGGCCACGAAAAGGTTGGCCCTTCACCATGACCCCGTAGCAACCCCCATACTCCTCCAACCTGAAAAGTTCCCTGCAGCTCCGTTGTACAGAAGATAATCGGCTCGAGGTGGTAAATATGCGAAGTGGTTAATATGTCCTACCAGAAAATATTAAAATGCCCATTCATTTCCAAGACTCCGACACCTTCCCCTGTTAATGCACACTCTTCTCGACAAGTTCACCAACTTCTCCCCCCCCCCCCCACGACCCGAACACAATCGTCTTTCTAGCTCTCAAACACTTATGCGCTGACCTTTTATATTCCGCAAGGAAAAACACAGAAATTAATCCCAAAAAAATTGGAACTCACCAATAAATTGATTGGCCATCTGGAGAGCAAGGGCGTCCTTATGTCCATATCCGACACCCTAAATGATTAACAGCATAGCAGCAGTTTCTTATTAGCAAATGAGAGCGCACTAAATTCAATGATGCCCTCACAAATCTCATGATCGTAAAAGGGATACCCGAGCTGCAACCGTATTGGCAAGATGAACGGTCACTCTCCCCGTCTCCGAGTTCCCTGATGGTCACACACAAGGCTGAACCACAGGCGCCGATGAGATATATGAGCTGTCATAAGAGTGCGTTCATACTTTGCGCCAGCGTTTGAGCGTACGCCAGCGTTTTGAGCGTAGAGCGGAATTTTAAACTTTTGGCGAGTGGTCGCTGGCGATTGCTAGAGGATACCTATACTTGCCTCGTCGCTCAAACGTTCACGCCAACCACTAACGCAGCCTTACGTGCATACGACAACTGCTTTTTTCCCTTGTCCTGCCTTCAATAGCCCACTTGCAAGGGAAGGACGAGAAATCTGCCTTGTCCCTCTTCTGTCCGGACTCCTGCAGCGAGCCAAATTCAGTTTAGCAGCTGTTTTATGACCACGCAACATAGAGAATGACAGAGAGTTCAGAAAAAGGCGATCAGGCAACTTTGGCAACTCGATCGGTGAAACTATACAATCCAGAGTACAGTTATTGTGTACTACAGCCATGATCCCTGCAAACGGTGGGCCCGACGGCAGACATGCTTGAGCGCACGCCTGACCAGATTCCCACCCGTTTTATGAGCTCAGGAGCATCACTACTCGTGAAAAGTGTGTGTGCTTCAATACGCGCCGCCGCCGTCGCACATTCCTAAACGTTCTGCCGAGGGATTATGACAGTACATGATTCGATAGCCGCGCCAGATAGAACGCACAACCCGTCAGCAAAATAGTGACCACATCTCACCTCAACAGCTACAGCAGAATACATATGTGGGATGTAGTCGTTACGATATCTGTATTCTGATCCAGTAAAACGGATACCACCAGCCTGAAATGCACACAAATGATTTCTTAAAAAAATAAGCGGAAAAACAACAACGCAGTACCTCAGGGACCTTCCTTGGGTATTCATTGCTAAGATCACCGAAATATTTCTCGGCAAGACCTAGCAACTTCGAGCCAGAGCAGCCACCACCAACACCTGAGAGCACCATTCTAATAGGACGATAGTTATCTTCCTGCCACTCTTTCAGATGTTGGCCTGTGATAGCCTGAATATGATATTCTGAACGAACAATGCAATATTTCATCGAAAATATGGTGCAATTTTTCGATAGAATAGGTAATGGAGGGGAGGGGGGAAGAATAAATCCCACAATTTCGC